GCCGCCAGCAGAGACAGCCTTAAACCCCCAGCAGCAGGGCCTCCTTCGCCACCTCTCCCCCCCCCTTGGAGGAATTACGGACCCTTTGCAACCAGCTCCTGGGCTTTGACCTTCAGCAAACCGGATTCCCCCCCCTTTTTCCTAGCAGCATTCCCCCCTCCCGCCCCTGTCTTGGGCTGGACAAGAAGGGGGGAAGGTTTGCAGCGCGCACACACGAGCGTCAGTTGTGTTTGGATGTTTGTGGCATGGAGAAGCAGCAGCTAGCAGGGATGCGAGGAGAGCAGCAGCAGCAAGAGGTGGAGGAGGAGAAGTGTTGAGCTGCTCAGCTCTCCCCGCGACCGCTTTGTGTGTTCTGGATTTGTGTCTGTGTGTGTGTGTGGGGAGGGGGGAGGTTGTTTTTTTGGAAGGAGCCTGGGGCAGCAGCAGCGCTGTGAAGCCGGGGAAGCCTTTTCATTCATTTTTCTCCTGCATTTTTTAGGGTCTTTCGGTCCCCCTCCGACTTACTTTTGTGCTGGGGGGCGCTGCAAGGGGGGATTCCCTTGGGAGCAGCCTCTGCTCTCTGCTGAGGGGGATCAACTGTCTTGGGAAGCTTTATTGCCCCTTCCCCCATCAGCTTGCTTTGCACCCCCCCCCCGCTTTTCCCATCCGGTTTTGTGCGTGTGTTTGCTGCGTCTTTGTGGGGTTTGAAAATGGAGGCTGAAGATACAGACTGCCAGCCCCAACGTGCTTCGTGTTGGTTACTCCGGTGCCCCTTGCATCCCTGCAGGCAGCGCTGAGGGGGGAGTGTTGCTCAGCGCCCCCCAAGTATCGCTCGTCCTGGGGGAGCCCCAGCCCGGCGTGGTTATTGTTGTCCGTGCGTAGCTGCTCCGGAAGCACCTCCGCGAGGGGGAGAAACACCTTTGAATTTGCAAACCCAGGGGAGAGTGTTTTTGTGTCTGCGCGTGGGAGGAGCGGGGTGATTTTTTTCCCCCTCTCTCCCAAGCTCCCCCCCCCTTAATAGAGCTGGTGTGTGAGTGGAGGGGAAGAGATTTTGGACTTTTTTTTGGGAAAAGGGGATCTTGTCCATAATTTAAAAAAAAAGGAATGAAGTCTGGCGCTGGAGGAGGGTCCCTGACCTTATTTCTGCTCTTCTTCGCCACTCTTTGTCTGTGGCCAACAAATGGAGAAAGTGAGTATTTGGCGTTTCATTGAAACCTGCGGGGTGCAGGGAAACGGGGTGGTGGTGGGCGCGCTTGTTTTGCACTGCGGTGACTTTTGAGTTTCAAAGGCTGCGTGCGTTTGCCTGTTACTGAAGCTGCTCCTTAAGCACATTTAATACCTTGAGTTCAGGCTGCTCTTTCCTCTCTCCTCACTTGCGGTGGTTGGCTTGGATATTCGTTAACCAGAGGTTAGACACTCTCCTGTTTCTGAAGAGTAATAGGTCCACTTGTTTCCTGCCCTTACCCCATAATCTTGTCTTCTGTGTTAATTTCTTTAAGCCTCTCCAGATTTCCCCCAGATAGTTAGATTTTAAACTCCCAAGACTTGTAAGGTGCTCGGTCAACATTGCAAGGCCCAGAAATGCATGCTTTGACTGTTTATAGGGGAACAGTGACTTTAGTAACTGAATGCCTTTTTAAAAAAAAATCAGGTGTTAATACCTTATCACTGAAAGAATTTCAGTAAACAAGCAGATACTGTGTTTTGTTTTTACCTAGCGTGGCGTTCCCTTCTTGGGATGCTCAGATGTAAAAGGATTATAGTCAGCATACGAAGATCACTTAATCTCCTAATTACTTTGTATAGATCTATACAACTTGGTGTGTGTGTGTGTGTGGGGGGGGGGGATATGGAGATGGACGCACGGACTGACACATTGGAAGGACTAGGGATTTAAAGATAAATAAATCAATACATTAGAAGCTCTGTTTATACCTAGAAGTGAAGTTCTGCGGTTGCTTTTAAAAAAAACTAGCGTGAGTTGTTTTCTTCTCTGTGTTTAAATTCTGCCTTGTGGAAAACGTGGTTCATTGTGTGTTTGTGCGTGCGCGCTCTGCAAATGGTTAAGTCTCTAGTGCACAAAGATGTCTGATGTGGCTTCTTGTTGCTGTTTATCTTTTCGGAATCGCAGGGTCTGTCCGTATTGTTTGGGAGTTGCAAAAAGCCCCGACTTCGGGTTTTTGTTTTTGTTTTTTGCATTTCAAACCTGTGATTATATTATCGTGCCCGCCCCCTTCGGTTGCAGGGGAAAATAGAAGGGGTGTGGATGGTGAGAGCTGAAATGCACTAGATTGCAATTATCTGCATATTAATCGGTGCGGATGATCAGTTTGCCTGTTTTGTTAGCTAAGATTGGATTGTTGGCCCCTAAAATTAACGTTAACTTTGTCCCCCGTTTTTGGCGGTGGGAGTGGTGAGATTGGAGGGACGGTTGTTAAATGGGCCTTTTTATTTCAACCATTTTCACATTGTGCTCGATCTCCCTCTGTTTGTCTTTAAGCGTTTGTGCAGACAGGAGGTTTCCTTAAAGCTAGATCCATTCCTACTAGCTGAATAGTGTAACTTTTGAAAAATCTTGAACCACTGGTTAACGTAACCAAATTTTACTTTTTAAAAGGTGTGCGTAGGAGAGAGCGTGTTGCATCTGTTAATATCTGAGGAAAGAATTCCTGAAACTAAAAAGAAAAAAAATCATATGGGCAAACCCTTAAGTAGTAGATTTAGCTCGGAAAATAAGTTCTGTGGATGTACCGGCAATTAAACCAGTTGTAGAAATGTTTTGGGCAAGGCTAGGGTAGATGGAATCTTTAAGGCATGTTGAGTAATATTGTATTTCGTTAGACAGTGAATGCCAATTAACTCTTTAAAAGTCAGGGCACAACTTGGCTTTTAACATTGTGATGTTGGGTCAGCAAGGGCTGGGGAGAGTGTTTCCTTTCTTGGATAAGTAAAACTTTTTAGCTAGAGTTGCTGTCTAGAGAGGAGAGTATTCTTTAGGATTGAAAATAAATCCCGCAGAGCTTACTTTTTTGGGGTGTTGTGCGCTGGTGGCTAGAAGAATCAAGGGTAACAGTGATTAATAGGTGTAAAAATAAGCTTTTTTTATTAGTTTAAGAATACACTGGACTCATATTCTTAAATTATTTCTATTACCCAAACATCTTCACATGAGAATGGTTGAAAGAAGAAATATTCTCTTAACAGAGGCAATACCAGTACAAAAGATTTTATTTTTCAGTCATTTGAAATGTATTTGGGCCATCTAACTAAAATGACTCAGCTCACATCTCTCAGTTTATTTTGAGGAGGATCCAGGCATTTGAGTATAAGATGAGAAGCTTGTTTTTGCTAAATACTGCCTTCAATTAAACTGACTTAGTAGTTTGCAGTTGAATATACTTTGTTTTTACCAGTTATTACTTATAGAACTTTGCTGTTAAGGGAAAAATGACCCCTGCACAGATGTTCTGCATCTGTTGATATTTTCTCTTCCCTCAATAGAAGAAGGGAAGATTAATCTTATTTTTGTTTTTCATATATATAATGTCATAGCTAAAAACACTTCAGTTTCTGGTCAGACAAACAAGACATTTCTAAATAGGAATACCCTGGACTTCAAAACAGGCACAAAACATTTTCGTAAATACATCAACAAGTGATGAGATTTAATGAAAATTTTTTTTTAAATGCAAGTGGTTTTCCTTTTAAAGTTCCAGTTAGCAACACACACACAAATATTCATGGTATAGAAACGTTTTGTCAAAAGAGCAAAGAAATCCATTCCTGAGATGAACTTAGTATGCAGGTGTGGTAGTTCATGTGGTATGTAAGGTAGCCAGGTATTGAGAGAAATCCTTTAAACCTTGAAGCAGGTTTAAGATGCACCCTAAACTCATAATACCCTTTTTTTTCCTGGGTAAGATCATCAGTATGGAGCAAATAGAATATTGGCTTTAGATTCCTTACCCGGCTTAGGCATTAATGAAAGGAAGAAACTGAAAGGGGTATCTTAAAAAATTAGACACTCAGAATAAAAATACCATTAGTATGGTGTCTGCTGTAATAGTTCTCTGGGCTTATAATTATGTCAGTGAATGTGTTCATCTCAGCTTTGAGCATTACTCCATACATACAGCCTACATTTTGTTTCAGATGTTAACAGTAGTACATGCTGGCATCTTTGGATTCATATTTCAGGATGCATAGTAAAAAATCCTTATGAATGTACTCACTGTACATGTGTAGCATGAATATCAATATCTCCTAATACATTTGGTGATAATATATAGTAAGCTGAGTGAGTAACATAGTTTTTTGGACAATTTAGATACTGAATTTGAGCTGTTGGAGTATTAAAGGAATTAATGTTAATTAGATATATTGGAAATAAGAGAAGGACTATTTTAGAGGTTATCAGTAAATGACCGTTTAGAATCTATTGTAAAAAACAGTGAGCTAATCAATGTGAACACCAATAACAAGTCTAAAGTCACACGTTAAAATCATTTTAGTAACAAAGTCAAGAAAAGGGATGAAAATGGTGGAAATTCTGCTTTATTTTAACACAATGTGCTAAAAGAATAGAACATAGGATGTGTTAGGGAATGAGGATGCATAGTAGCTGATTTAATTGTAAAATAAGTATTTCAGGGGAGAAATGGTTTTCTTCCTATAAAGTAAAGGAAGTCCAACTAAGGAGTTTGACTAATGACAAAAATATTGTTAGAAGAGAGGGAAAAGAAAAAGGCTGACAAGAGTGAAGAATAAAATCAACTGGTTTTAACTTCAGTGACACAGAAGAAATTAGGTTTTTGTGTATAGAATTCACACTATTCCTCTAACAGCCAAGTGACAGTTGAACATGTAATTCTAATAACATTTAGTCATCCTTGTTAAAAACTAATGTTAGAATGACTCTAAAATGTGAGTCTAATCATTCATTTTTGCCTTTAATTGTCTGCACACTAGATTTGTTTCCATAAAGCCTATACTTTTAAAACTTCCACAAGAAGAAAACCTTGTTAATATTAAAGCCTCTCTACACTGTTAACTAACGAGTTAAGCTGAATGTACTTTATTTTGGGTGGAGTTAAATAGTTTCAAAAAGTTTTTTTTAGCTTTACTAAATTTACATTTAATAATGTATCCATTTCTCTTCTGCTTAAGAAAAGGTAATCTCTTTGATGATTTGATTAAAATATTAGTATTTTAGGTGTATAAATTATTGTGCTGAAGTTGTAGATCTTTTAAAAACTATATTAGTGTAATTAAGAACTATTTTTCAACTAGTGAGCTTCTTCCGTAGACTCCAATTTTACTGGTGGCCATTGCAAGTTTTCACTTGGTGAGTTGAAAGAAAATGGTTAATGGATTAAAATAAGTTATATTGTAGGTAGTTTTCTATAATTTGTGAACAGAAAAAAAATGAACTTTAGGAGGCAGAAATATTGTGTAAAAACATTCCTTTCGCTCTTTGATCAGTTCATGAGCTTTCATGAAAAACAGCTTTCTTTTAACCTGTTTAGACGATCACGTGTGATGTATGCATCGGGGTTGTTCACAGACTAAATGGAGTAAAATGATTTAAAGCAGTAGGAAAAAAATCCCTGAAAAGTATATAAATGAGTTTTGTAAGCAAAAAATTTTGGGTTCACTATGTGCCTTGTCACAAAATGCTGAATTTTCTCAATAAGCTGTTAAAGATGGTAACTTATTTATCTTTCTTTTTTGTAATATAACATGTCACCTAAACTGAGGAAATATTACAAACCTTTGAAGCCAACCCTTAAACTTTGGATTATGAATTCAATAAATAATCTATTTTAATTTGAGTATACCTCTCTTCTGTTTGGAAACATGTTATGATCTTGCTTAATAGGAGCTGCCTTAATGTAAACATCATCCTTGGCAAATGCAATTATGTATTGAAAAACCTGATAATTGTATCTCCCTAACATGAAAACAAAAAAAAAACTTGTAAAAAGTTGGATCTCAAGTGTTTTGAGCAATGATTAAAGTTGTGTTTGCAAGTATGTGTGAATTCTGTTTATTGAAGGTCTTCTGTCAAAGATTGGACTTACTCTAAGGTTCCCTTACATAATGATGAGACTTTTCGGCTATAATTCCCGTTTGAAGGTACATTGGAATACATTGATCATTTTGATGGGGGTAGATAGAAGTGATTTTGAT